AGTAAAAAAGTAGTAATTGGAATTTGTAGGTAGAAAATAGCTTTGCTTCAGCTGCTATTATCTTTGACGCATCAACTTTTCCATCCATTTTCGCAGATGGGTACTTTTGGAGGTATTGGACAAGGTTTCTCCAGGATCTGTTAATTGGAAGCATGCAACAAAACCTCCAATTAAAATGCCATTTCGGAAAGTTGAAAACTGCAACCAAGTTGTCAGGATTGGGAAGCAGTTGAAACTTTCCCTTGTAAATGTGGGTGGAAATGACTTTGTCCAAGGGAATAAGAAGCTTATACTTGGTAATGTTGCAAAACAAAATTTATATGTTTCATAGTGAGGCTTATTTCTCTTCATGGCTCTCTGGGAACCTAATTGCTTTTTAATCTTCTTGAGCTTCCAAGATTCTGTCTCGTCTGTACTTGTATTATCATAATTATTTGTGCGTAGCTGGAAAGCTGGAATACATTATTTGGTTATCTTCCTGTTATCATTCTTGACTGCATCCAACACCAAAAGTTTCCCATCCCTACCCTAGTTACTATGTTGTCTGAAGAATGCATTGGTTCCTTTTCAAGGTAGTTGATAAAACTCTATGGACCTGGAATCACCAATCCTTTCATGAAATGGCTTTTGCATGATTGTGTAGATTTCTTGCTGATGTGGGATTGTGGTTGAGGATATTATCTAATAACTCCTGTCAAAAGATAGAAAAGATTAATTTGTTTGTATTATTACTTTATTGTTATCATAAAGTATAGCATCAGGTAACGTTTAGCTCATCATCCTACTGTAATTGATTTTTCTCTATACGGTTTGTATAATGATTTAATTTTAATATGCTGGCAAACTAAGGATGTTAGATTTCAACTATTTGTTACATATCTTTGGTCATATATAGTTGGAAGTGATCAGTTATTATTATGGTGCTAAAAGTGCAGAAATCTTCTAAGACCCTGTAAATGAGTAGTCTGTATAAAAAGACTGTCAAAGAAAAAGCATTTTAATCTTAATGGATGAAGAAGTTTAGTTGTATTACTCTTAAAGCTTTTAAATAGTGGTTGCAAATACTGAATCACCATAATTCTTGGTTTAGCAGTCTACATATTATGTGAGCTCCGCTGTGCGAACTTTCTCATCTTGTGTGTGTGTTTCAATGTGATTATGTTGCTCATGCAACTAAATATCTTAGTTTTGGTTCTATGAATTATCTGCTATTACGACATGTACAAGCCTTGTAACTAGTGCCTCTTAGCACATGACTTATGTTTCCACTTATACGTCCTTTTCCAGCTTTCCTGTGGCAGTTGATGAGGTTTAATATGCTTCAGCTTTTGAAGAACTTGAGATCGCGTTTCCGAGGGAAGGAGATTACTGACGCTGATATTCTAGTTTGGGCAAACAAAAAAGTGAAAAGCACTGGAAGAACATCTAAAATGGAGAGTTTTAAGGTGTAGTATCACTAGTTCCTGTTCAATTGGCGTAATTTCAACCTTGACTATCTGATTCTGACTTACAATTCGTGGATTTTGTTTAGGATAAGAATCTTTCAAGTGGATTATTCTTTCTCGAGCTTCTCAGTGCTGTGGAGCCAAGGGTTGTTAATTGGAATCTTGTTACCAAGGGTGAAAGTGGTATGGAATGGATTCTTGCAATATTTATCTTTCTTTTTCTCTTCTTGGCTTTTGGGAAATGGGCATGGAGGGAGGTCGTCTTTCAATACATTCTTTGTGTAGTTATCTGCCACAGGCTTCACTTCCACTTCCATGTTAGGACTGAGGACTTGCATTTGCAATAATGAATTCGACTTTCTAGCATGAGCAACTAGCTTCATACACTTCCTTAGTGTCAAATAAGGATTGAAGAATTGACTTTCTAGCGGAGCAACTAGCTCCACATGCTTCCTTAGTGTTAAATAAGGATTGGAATTTGGCTTTCTAGCTGAACAACTACCCCTTCCTTGGCTTTTAATGCTTGTGGTCTTCTTTCTAACAACACCGGAAAGAATACAGCAACTTTCAAAAGGAGTTGTAGCACAAGAGGGTCTCACACATCTTGGCTCTTTATTCGATCTACTTCTTTTAGAAATTTAATCTGTACTTCTCATCTAGTGGGTGCTGTGCTCTGAACTGAACTTTCTATTGTTGCTCCCTAACAGATGAGGCAAAGAAACTGAATGCTACTTATATCATTAGCGTTGCACGGAAACTTGGGTGCTCTATCTTTCTGTTGCCTGAGGATATCATGGAGGTGAGAATGCTATAATGTTGCTTGTTATGTACTTTCTATCATGGCGAATTGCAGCTAGTCGTTTGTGTCCATGGGAATCAATTAAAGTAGGCAAACTTCTTTGCTACTGCTAAAGAACCATACCCTGGAATATCTTGCTAACTTCTCTCTTGGGCTGGGGGTGGGGGGTGGAGTGGGGTATAAGGGTCTTAACAAAGACCAGACAAATGCAGTACAATCTTTACAGGGTTGAAAAAATAAAACCATTCTGGGAATTCAAAACATGTTTGTAACAAAACAACTCAATTCTATATCCTTTTAACAATACAGTGAGAAGTATGCACACTATAGCTTTTCCTATGATCTTTCCTGGACAAAGATGTCATCATGAGATCTGATTGTAACACTATCCTTCTTGGGGTCACGTGGTGGACAGGTTAACCAAAAGATGATCCTTACTCTCACTGCGAGCATAATGTACTGGAGCCTTCAGCAGACAGCGGAAGAGGCGGAGTCTGCATCTCCTGCGAGTACTATAACTGATGCATCACCAGTACGATCTACAAATGGTTCAATGTCCCCCTTGATTGCTGCTTCGCCTGATGCATCCCCTGCACCGTCAATTAGTGGAGCATCCTCTCCTGTGGTGGATGCATCTCCAGCACCGTCTGTCAATGGAGATGAAGAAAGNGTCTGTTAATGGAGATGAAGAAAGCCAACTAATTGCTGAAGTGTCAAAGTTGGCAGATGATGACGCATCGTCTGATGTGTTAGCATCCCCAGAGCAGGCTGAAAATGCAGAGATACCATCAGATGTGCACAGGGATGCTGAAAATGCAGAGATACCATCAGATGTGCACAGGGATGCTGAAAATGCAGAGATACCAACAGATGTTTGCGCGGATGCTGAAAATGCGGAGATACCATCAGATATGCCCTCATCCCCGCAACTTGAGGATACAGAGCAACAGAGTGGCCTCTCACATGAAGTTGAAAATGAGGGTACAAAACCAGATAATGAACAATAGTTGGAAGTTGTCTTTTTTACAAGCTCAAGGGACAGAGAATAAGCAAGGGGAGAAAGCATGACCAACGAAAATAAACAAAGAGAATGTGTTTTTAGATGAATGATAGTAAAGTGCGAAATGTGATTAGATACGAATATAGATTTAAGTACACAATGTTATCAGCTCAGGAAGATAGTACACACCTTTGGAGAACAACTGTACTTTTTCCAATTTTGTTTCCTGTTAGTTTTCTATAGATATTTCCTTTTGAATGTAAGTAGCGTTTGGTCCATTTGATGTATGGCTTAGATTGTGAAAATATTCCCAATGATTCATGCTCATGAATACGCAGACGCGATGTATACCGCTAGTATCCTGAAGTTTGGATAGACTGTTTTTTGAGGTAGCAGGATTTGGGGGTGGAAGAGTTATTCGTGTTTTATATAATCATTGTGCATTTAATGATTTAATAATTTGATGTAAACGCACATTAAAAGTGTATTTTTTGAATGTTGAGGACTTTTTCAATTTTGAGGTTTGGTCAGTTCGCAAGAGTTATGGCCCAGCTTGGGTGCAAGTGTCGTGCTAGATTTATATGTCAAACTACAAGTTAGGACAGATTTAGCAAAGCTGTGTACAAGACAGGTTTCAGTGGAAGGTGGGACCAGTACTCCACCAAAGAGGTGAGTGCTCCACATAACAGGGCCAAGTGCTCCACAATGCATGCTGATGAAAACCATTTTGTGAATAATGCCCCATTAAGTGATCAAAGTGCTGATTTAGTGCTTGAAGTGGAACAAGCACTAGAATAGATTGCCCCTTTATAATATTGTCCCTTCAGATCTGCCACTGACAACACCTATACTTATAAATAGGTGGGAATTTCGTGTGGAATTCAGGAAGAGAAGAAGTAGAAGAGGGTCTTCAAAAGAAGAAGAGTGTCTTCGAAAGGAAGTTCTGTTGTGAGACTTCCAAGTGGGAAACAAGAGAGAAACGTGAGGGTTTCTAAGTGTTTCAAACAGGGGCTAAGGCTGGGCATTGGGCAGGTCTTAGTGTGCAAGATCGACTTGTGATCTTTGCTAGACGAAGTGGACTGTGAACGAATTGTGTTCATAGTAAAGTGGGAAACAAGAAAGAAACGTGAGGGTTTCTGAGTGTTTCAGAAGTGGGTTAAGGCTAGGCATTTGGGCAGGTTTTAGTGTGACAAGATCGACTTGTGATCTTGGATGGTCGAAGTGGGCTATGAACGACTTGTGTTCATAGCAAAGTGAGAGGTCCTTTGTATATTTTCATATTAATACAAAGGTTGGAATTTTTCCATACTTGATTGTGTTCTCTTTATGTTGCTACCGAATTTTGCTTAAGGCCGAACTTGTTGAAAAGTTGGTTAAGTGTTGGAAAAGGCTGAGTAACTTGAGTGTCAGGTTGCTGCCGCGCGGTGTCAATTAGGCGCGAAAAATTGGCCCAATTTGACCCTGTGATACTTTCTATATTTGAGAATAATTTGACTTAGAATATTTTTTTTACTCTTAATGATAAGCTTTTATAACTACATGCAAATATTATAATATATAAAGATTACAAGTTTTAGAAGTCTTATAATCACACAAATATTAGCATATTAAACATCACAAGTTTTAAAGATCCTTCTTTGTTTTTAAACTTTATATTTGGTCAGATAGGTTAATATAAATTAATATTAAGGGAGTATTCATTTTGGTACAAGATGTCGCCAATTTTTTTAAACTTATGTTTCTAGGAAAGATTTATTGTACAAGATGTCGCCAAAATAAGATACAGTAGTACTATTTCCCAAAGTTTGGCTCGCGGTAAGCTAAATAGATCAATTTTAAAGTCAAGAAAAGACAAAAGAAGGCATCACACACGGTCCTTTTGCAAGTGTCATAGATCAAAAAAGCAAAGGAGAAGGGAAATCTAAGAACAACCAAGAGATGTCATCAACTCATGTTTGTCTCTCGGTAATTATCTCTCTTTATTACTGCTATTTCCTATCTGCCAAAATTCCAAAAGGTATTCCAAGGCTCATTTCTCTTCTACCCATTTTTTACCTCTTCACCATTCTTCCACTTTACTTTTCATCTGCATTTCTTATAGCACTCACCACTTTCTTCATAACTTGGCTTGCCAATTTCAAGCTCCTCCTCTTTGCCTTTAATCAAGGCCCTCTTTCTCTCTCCACAAAAAATGCAACAAAAAAATTATCTCTTCCCATTTTCATTTCTATGGCTGCCCTTCCCCTCAGATCCAAACAACATAATCTTAAATCCAATGAGCCAAACCCCACCAAGAAAATCCCTTTAAATTTAGCTGCAGAATTTGTCCTCCTTGCAATATTCTTGGAGTTGACTTTTCACCACAAAAGTCAAATCCATCCAAATTTAGTCTTGATTTGCTATTGTTTTATGGTGTTTCTTATGATCGATATTCTTGTTGCATTATCTAGCTCTATTGCTAAAATCTTGGTTGGGCTAGAGCTAGAGCCACCTTCAAATGAACCTTATTTGTCAACTTCCCTTCAAGATTTTTGGGGGAAGAGATGGAACCTCACGGTAACAAATACGCTGCGTCTCACCGTATACAACCCCGTGAGGTCAGCATTGTCGGAGGTGATCGGTAAAAACTGGGCCCTACGGGTTGCCGTGCTTGCAACGTTTGTCGTTTCCGGTTTGATGCATGAACTGATATTTTATTACGTTAACGGTGTGAGCCCCTCGTGGGAAATGACGTTGTTCTTTGTGCTTCACGGGCTGTGTGTAATGGTGGAAATTGGTGTGAAGAGAGCTGTGAAGGACACGTGGCGGTTGCCGTGGTTCGTTTCCGGGCCGTTAACGGTTGGGTTTGTGGTGGCCACTGCTTTTGGGCTTTTCTTCCCACCGATAATTAGGAATGGTGCAGATGAAAGGGTACTTGAAGAAGTTGGGACTTGCTATGATTTCATCAAAACGAAAATGCTTCAATTGCCGAATTTTGTGGGTCATTTTAGATAAATTGATTTACTTTATTTGCAATGAAAATTTTATAATGCATCTATTTTGGTTTCTAGTCCTTCGAACAAACTTTATAGTTTAATGAATTTTCTTTTGTTACATCATTTGAATATATATCTTTTATGAGAAACTTATGTTGCACCTCTTCTAGTTTGTTTTAGTGATGCTTGAATATCATATGGCTCAAGCAAAAATACAATGCCACAAAAGTGGCTATTTGGTAAATCAACCGAAAGAAAAACCTTTATTGGGTCTGTCCATTGCAGCCCAAGTCCAGTAATTCTTGATTGGGCCTATAATTAGGCCCATTTATAGACTGAAGCTATAGTCAAAATTGCGTGTGTTGGCCAGTTTTTTGGAGTGGTAATTAAAAATAGCCGGTATTTGTAAAGTAATTGAAAAATACAGGAAATCTTACGGAAATGTTCCAAATAAGTTCTAACTTACCAAACTCTCGCCATTAATCATAAATTTACCAAAACTAGCCAAGCACATACAAAAGTTGAAAAACTAAAAAAATAAGGATACTTTCTCTCTAACAATCACACGCAAAGATCTTCTTTCATAATTTTAAGCGTGATCAGCAATATTGGATGCAAGACGGAAAGAAAATTTCATGGATTAGATAGCAAATAAGGTGATGGAATATATATATATAAACAAGATTCCAAAAATCTAAGCAAAATGAGACCTTTTTCAATGGGTATGTTTGAAATCTATTGAAAACATATAAATTAGACAATATACAAATTTTGAGAAAGCTTGAAAGTGATTTAGATAGATTTGGTATCAAAATTCATAGTTAAATTAAAGTTCAAAAAATTCTTATGCGATACATATATCTCACATACATGTAAACATGGATATACATGTGATACACACTTGATACAAATATAATACATATGTGATACACAAATGATACATAGTGTGATACACATATCATCTTTTTCATGTTCATCTTCTACTTCAAATTCTCAATTCAAACTACCTCAAAACTCTACCAAATCATCCCAAAACTGAGATTTAAACTCTGTAAGATGTATCCATCTATTCCAACAACACACACTCAAAAGAAAGCAAAAATTTATTTTTTTTTTGCTACAAGTAGCTAATTGTCTAATACTGATAATATTTTATAAATTGACTAATTTTTGTACTAGCTTATGGGCTGACATAATTGGTAATTTTTCAAAAATAAACTATTTAATGAGGAGATAAAATCTGAACAAAAATACTCAAAAAATATATGTTAGATTATGAAGTTCCTGCGTATAAAACTCCAACATATTATATTGGAAGTCCAGCATATTATACTGGAATTTTATATGTTAAAAATTCAAACTTTAACATATTATGTTGTATTTATTTCGAATTTTAACTAAGGATATATTTGTCTAGATTTTTTTTTGCCATGAACAAGTAGCTAAATTTCAACAAATTTTTAAACTATGATTAATTTTCAGTTAACAATTATAAAACAAGCTAATGTTTAATTTCTTCCTCGTACGGGTGTGGTAATCCATGCTATATATGGATCTTGTTTAATTTTAATAATAATAATATTTTCTTTTTTATATGGAATTCGGATATTCCCCTTGCTAAAAGAGCCTTGCGGCCAGCAGCTCACTCCAATCCCTTGTTTTTCAACCCACCATCTCTTGTCTATTTTTAGTTTTCTTTTGTTGTTTGTTTTCAAGTCTTGTTCTTTTTTCTTTTTCTTTTTTTCTATCTTTGTAAGGTCACTCCAATTGATTTGAAAAAATAAATAATGTTTAACGCAAAAAAAATGATCCAATAAAACGAGAAAATGTAATCTAAGTAAATTTGAATATATAACAATTTCACCATCTATCTATTCGAACACTCTTGTAGTTTCTATTTTCGAAACTCTTTCCATTTTGGAATGTTCGAAATCATTTAAACATTTTAATAATTATTTTAGTCTGATAGTATTGCTAGTACAATATATAAATTAAATTTAAAAAATAAAATTCAATCAAAACCATGAGATTATAATACATAAACCAATGCCTAAAATAGAGAAAATTTGTTGAAATAACTTCAAGTTTTGCTAAAGAAGAAAATGTTAATAGAAAAGAAAGAATGATGCTGAAATGATCACGTGATTATTTGTTAGTGTACAGCGGTATGCATTGGTTAGTTAATTTGTTAGAAGTTAGTTAGAGTAAACTAGTTCTATATATATGTACAGTAGGTTAAATTATTACTATTCATTCAAAAAATTAGTTATAACTAAATTTTCCTCTACTTCTTCTTCTTCTTCTTCGATTCCTCATCTGAGCTACTTTCACTCTTTAATGGTAAATCTTAACATGGTATCAGAGCTCGAGTAGATCGATCGAAGTTAGGTATTAATCAGTTAATTCGCATTCTGGAACAGTTAATACAAATTTGGCTTTGTTTCTTGTAGATTATCCCTGGCGAATCTAGAGATTGATAATCCTCGTCATCCTCTGTATCTGCAACCATCAAATAATCCTGGAAATGTCATCATATCGATTTAGCTGAAAGGATATGAGAATTATTCAGTTTGGAGCAAGGCGATGGTGATTGCATTGCGAGCAAAACACAAACTAGGATTTATCGATGAGAGTTGTACCAAGGCACAATTCATTGCCGATTTGGGGGAAGAATGGAGCGAGTAAATGCTATTATTATAACATGGATTATGAACACAGTATCACTAGAATTGGTAAATGAAATTGTTTATCCAGGATCGTTTTGACAAAGTCAATGGCTCTAGGTTTTATAACCTTCAACGAGAAATAGCTTCCGTTTCTTAAGGTACGTATAGTATCTTAGTGTATCATTCTAGACTGAAATTACTGTGGGATGAGTATAATTCCATGATACCTTCACTTCCTGATACGGCTGGGAACAAAGATTTCATCGAACACTTGGAGCAGCAAATTTTTTTTCAGTTTTTAATGGGTTTAAATGAGTCCTATAATGCCATTAGGAATCAGATCTTACTTCAATCCCCATCACATTCTGTTAGTAGAAAAGATCAATAGTTGTCTTGTAAAAGGAATGAAAGCAGACTTCACCACTTGGCATAGAAGACTTGGACATGTACTAGTTAAAGTCATGAAGCAGTTAGATTTTCTAAAAAAATAAGAAGTTTCTGGATTATGAACTCAATAATTGTACTGTATGTCCTATAGATAGACAAGCAAGGAAATCATTTCCTCTGAGTAACAGTTGAACTGGAGACACATTTCATTTAATTTATATAGACATTTGGGGTCCATATAGAGTTCATACATACAATGAAAATAGATACTTTCTGACACTTGTGGATGATCATTCCAAAATAATTTGGATCTTCTTAATGAAATTGAAAAGTGATATTGTTGTTGTATTGAAATCGTTTCTTAAAATGGTCAATACACAGTTTAGGGGAGAATGTTAAGATGCTAAGAACTGATAATGGTGCAGAATTTTTTAGCCATGAATGCAGGGATTATTTGATAGATAATAAAATTCTCCACCAAAGAAGTTGCCCACACATTTCACAACAAAATAGAGTGGTGGAAAGAAGGCACAGATATGTCTTGGAAGTGGCAAGGGCATTGAGATTCCAATAGACTGCCTTCCTAAATCCTAGCAGGAAAATCTTTTCATATGAAGTCTTTCATAAAAAACCACCTAGCTTGGTTCACCTAAGAATTGTTAGGTGTTTATGTTTTTCCACAGTTACAGAAAAGGTGGACAAGTTCTCTCCCAGGACCATCACTGCAGTGCACATGGGATACTCAATATCTCAGAAAGGATATAAGCTATACGTTTTTGAGAAACAAAAAGTTCTTTGTCAGTAGGGATGTAACCTTTAAAGAGGACATTTTTCCTTTTTAACTTGCAAGGAATGGGACAAATTCTCCAGTATTCTTAGAGTTGAAGAATGGACAAGAAGGAAGTCAGCACTGGAATCAGCAACAACAAACTCACACACCTGAACAAGGAGAACCTGTTATCCACCAGGATATAGTGGATGATCAGGAGTTGATGCAGGAGGAAAGCCACCTCATAGCAACTGATCCAAACCACAATGTTAAGGTGCCAGCTGTTGAAGTTGCTGAGGAGATCCCATCTGAACAACCAAGAAGATCTGCTAGGGGTTCCATGCCACCTATTTGGATGAAAGACTACATGTCCAATTAATGGAGCACGTTCATCCAACTGCACATATCCAATATCCAATTATCTAAATTATAGCACTATTTCAACTACCTACAAGTCCTACCTAGCTGCAGTATCATAGGAAATAGAACCTACATCATATGCAGAAGCCATGAAGGATCCAAGATGGAATGAAGCCATGGAGGCATTAGTTTTGAATAACACTTGGGAAGTAGTTGATATTCCTAAAGGGAAGGTGCATATTGGATACATATGGGTATATAAAATCAAGTACAAATCGATTTGCAAGGTTGAGAGATTCAAATCCAGACTTGTTGCAAAGGGGTACATCCAACAAGAAGGTCTAGACTACCAAAAAACATTCTCTCCAGTTGTTAAAATGGTCACGGTTTGAGCTGTAATTGCATTAGCTGCTATGCATCAGTGGCTACATTTTCAAATGGATGTTTATAATGCCTTTCTTCAAGATGACCTTGAAGAAGAGGTTTATATGCAATTGCCACCTAGTTTTAGCAGCCAATGGGGAGTACTAAGGGCTGCAGACAGCTTAAATCTCTCTATGGGTTGAAACAAGCTTCAAAACTATGGAACTTGAAGCTTACATAAGCTCTTTTGCAAGCATGCTTTTGTACAAAGTAAACATGACCATTCCTTATTCACCAAAGGAGAAGACGGAAGACAGATTATCATACTTGTGTATGTTGATGATCTTCTCATCACAGGAAGTGACACAAAACTGATTCAACATGCCAAGGTTACACTGCACAAAGTGTTTAAAATCAAAGATCTGGGAACCTTAAAAGTGTTTCTTAGGCATTAAAGTGTGTATATCTCAAAAGGTAATATTTCTATGTCAGAGGAAGTATGCTCTAGAGCTCATAACAGAGTTGGGACTGGTAGGTGCCAACACGCTATCACACCCATTGAGCAGAATAGAA